TGATATCAATTAATTATATCTCCATAGGTTACACTTTCAAAAAGTGTAGTTTAGAATTAACAATTGGGATTTTTCTGGCCATAAAAGCAGAAAAAATATATTTCAAATCCTCCAACCTTTTCCTGCAAAAGAAAATGAACAGTCAATGTCTTATCCCATTTCCAACCTGCCCCCTCCCCACCTCTAAGAAACTGGGGTGAATTTCTCTTCCTTTGCTAGAAGAATTGTTGAGGAAGCCTGCAGCGATGGGATCCCATGATAGCAAGGTTTAACTCTGAAGGCATGAAGTCATTAGGGCTCAAAGGTTGAAGTACGAAGTGAAATTCTGACTCATCACAAAGAGCATTTATGGCCTTGGCAACACATCTTAGTAATCACTCAAAAGAAAACAATAAAACATTCTAAATGTTCTCTCTGGCTGCAAACTTGGTGGTTATCAGCAGGGGACATAAACTTCTGGGAACAGATAAATCTTCCTAACAGGTCTAACACACAAGAGGACTGGCTCCTAGCTTTTTATGTTCTGTGGTCTAGGCACCTTCTCAGAAGTTGCTGGAGTGTATTAACAGTTTGTGTTATGGAAACTATGTGCTGATAAAAAAGAAAAACACACAATGCAAAACATTAAAATCTTTCATTAAACAGACAGTTGAGGAAAGTCAACAATTCTTTTATCACCTTTAATCAAGTCTTAACATGAAATATCATTACCACTTTTTATTTTTTATTTATTTTTTTGTGACGAAGACTGGTTCTGAGCTAACATCTGTGCCCATCTTCCTTTGTTTTGTATGTGGGACACTGCCACACATGGCTTGACGAGCAGTGCATTGGTCCATGCCCGGGATTTGAACCTGCAAACCCTGGGCCACCAAAGTGGAGCTCGTGAACTTAACCACCATGTCACTCGGCCAGCCTGATTACCACTTAATTCTTAATATTATCTTATAGGAGATAGGATTTGGGCTCTTTTTCTCATAATAAAATAAGGTTCTCAACAGAACAAAGTCCAGCAGATGTCTGGTTTTAAAGGCCCAGAGCCAAAGAGTTCAGTCCTCAATGCAAAAAAGAAGCATGGGAACAAAAGAGAACAAAAGTCTCAGAATGGACACAGCTACGGTTTATATTTCTTTCATTGGATTTTTGGATTGAAATTGTCATTTTAGTTTCACAAAGCATAAAAATCACATCCGTATCCAATAAATACAGAGGCAGAGCCAGAGAAGGTAATTCAGGGATATTTAATTTTCTGTGGGACTTCACGGTGATGCTATGATTCAGCAGTAAAATAAAATAAAGTGCTTGGGAAGGCAACAAAACTTACAAATGAAGCCCAAGTGCTAAAGTTTGTCAAAAAGATGTTATAAACAAATACTGGAAAGAGAACATAATTTGGGGACCAAATTGTCTGAGAACCATTATCCTAGGGTTGATGTAAGGTTCAAATGAATTCATGTACACAAAACTTGTTTGAAGAACAAAATAGTATGCTACACATGGAACACGGCGTTATTATGGGGGTAAATGTTTAGGAGCAGAGGAATAGGGTACAAATAGATTCCTTAAAACTCGGCAGCCCTCATATAAAGACCTCTTGAAATTGGCATAACCTATTGCAGACAGCACAAATAAATTTTTCACAAATCCAGGACGGGGAAGATAGGAGAGCTGGAAAATTCCAAAGAGATTCAAAAAGAATTCGTAAGTATTTAGTGATGCTTAGGACTGGAACCCAGGCCTCACACCTCTACACTCCAAATTGAAGAACAGAATCAGGTTCTGCTGTGGCATCTAGGATTTTCATAAATGCTTCTTTCGGGAATCCATTTTCATCTGCATCTCCCACGGTCTGTTCTAGACTGAACTAACCCAATTTACAGCATACCGTTTCTCTTCCTTTTGCCCAGATTAGGAGAGCAGGACCTAGGCGACACAGTGCAAGTGGGCCCTAATGAGGCCTTTCCTGTCTCTAGGCTGAGCCCACATGATGTGGGAAACAGCGATAGCAAAACTGAGGCCACTCCCATGGCCAGAGAAGTATTTATAAAACCAGCTGTCTTGTCAGATAGACGTAGTAGAAATCCAGAAGGCATTCCTACCTCTGCATTAGGGATTCGTGAAAATTCTCTCAGAGGGCTGGGCATTGCCTTGGTTTCTCACACTTTACATTATTTTTAGGGTAGCTGGGGAATCAAGTTAATTCCAGGGTTGCAGTGGTGCCTTAAAATTACTGGATAATAGCTAAGTGCTCCACAGAGAGAGGTTTCCGGGTCCAGTTCGGGTCCATGGAACTCTGGGCCTCAAATGCTGTTTTAGCTCAGGAATGTTTGGTGGCTCAAGCCCTCATGCAACCCAAGCAGCCATTTTTCTCTTAAAGTGACACTTACAGAATGCTCCGGCCAGCTTGGTCCCAGACATTTCTGTATGGCATGGTGGCAGGCCCTATGCACAGAAACACACCCTCTTTGTCTGAATACAGCATGGACTTCAAGACTGAAGTCAGGACATAAACCATCAGCTTGGGTTCAGTAATCCTGCCTCTTCATTTCGGGCTAATATATAGGAAGAAACTACCTCAAACGTGCAGGGTTTGTAACTATGGATTCAATGCTGAATTTGCTTTTGGAGGAGGAGGTGGAAAAGAGAAATTTTACCAAATATAGTAAAGCCTTATCTATAAATAAGCACAGGAAAGAAAAACATATTTAGGATGCGTGAATTAGCATGTTTACAGGGCACGATTACTTAGTTTGGGGTTTAATTACATTTTGTGACCAAATTCCCAGGATTCTCATAAGTTTCTGTGTACTTCCCACCCCACCTCCCCATTAATGTCCACAAGGGCGAGATCACATGCCGATGTAGATTATTTACTTATGTGTTCAAAACACCCAAATACATTTGATTACAAGTACAGTTTTTGACAACTGTTTATTTAAGAATTTACTGTTTATTTAAGAAAAACATGTTTGTCATGTTTCCATTACAGAAATGTCTAAAGAGAAACCTCAAAACTAAAAT